TTCAACTCCCAGAATTCCCCAGCCTGCATGGCTGGCTGGGGAATTCTGGGAGTTGAAGTCCAGACATCTTAAAGTTGCTACGGTTGAGAAACACTGCCATAGAGGCTTGTGGTTGGTTCAGGGTGGACAAAAGTGTACAGTTGAGCTGAGAAGGTATCTAAGATAGCAAAGTGCATCAAGAAAGGCTCCAAACCTTTGGGGCCTCCAGGTGAACTGCCATACCAAGTTGGTCAAAGGAATCTCAGCTGTTCCTGGCTTGGATATCATGCTGGGAAGCCAAATAGCAGAGAATGACGTAATGGGTGTAAACCTTCAATGTTACCTTGTCTCTTGAAGCAGGGGGGAAAGTGGCTCATCGTGGCCATTTCCAGGGATGTTTTTCAGATGCACCGTTCTTGCTTAAAGTTCTGGATTTTTTGGGGGGTGTTCCAAACGGTTCTAGTCATCTTAGTTTCTTCTGCCTGCTGCTACTGTAATGATGTACTAATTCAATCTGAATTTTATCTGCTTCCCCCTCTTCCCCCTCTTCTTCCTGTCCCCTCTAATTTTTTTTTCAGACCTTTACTGAAAACTGGGTTTCTCCCCTTAATTTACAAAATTGTGTGTTTATCTGGAAGCAAGTTTCACTGTGTTCAGCAAGATTTCCTCTTTGTAAGCATGTGCAAAATGATTACTTTTAGCACTTGTCTTTTGTAACTCAGGGCTAACATTTTATTTTCCCTAAATCTTCACCTATCTGGTATTAATAAATAAAAACCCCTTCTTCAGCATCCAAGTGGTAACTGCTTGGAGATTTTTCCATATAAACATAAATATGATGTTTGTTACTGGAGGGACTATACAATTATTTTTCTCTTCACAGACCTCTGGTTTCTACTTGACGAATTGGTTTCCCACCAAATTTTCATTGTAAAACTAGGAATGATCAAACCTGAAACTAATACAAACTGAAAACTGATTTATTCAAATTGTTTTGTCTTGGTGTATCATCATCATCATTATTATTCCTATGTAAAGAGAATCTATTGAAATCAGTGAAATTTAGTCATTGGGCATTTAATCATAGGGTTTTAAATTGTAGATGGTTGCCAAAGAATTTTGATAAAATAATAATTTAGCATTATAAGCAAGAGCAATAGGTCTACATTTTTTAAACCCATGTATATAAAGTTGTGGATCAAATATTTGTTCCTAAGGCTGAAGGAATATTCAGGCATGTCTCTTTTACAAATTGAGGATAAGGCTGGGCCTCTCTGGTAACCAGAACACACACACAAGTGATTTCTTTGTAGAATAATAAAGTTAGAAGAGGCCTAGTCCAACCTCGGCTCAAGGAGGGAATTCTAACTAAACCATTGCAGACAAATGGCTTTCCAGCTTCTACTTGGACTCATCCAATGAACAGGAGCCCATTTCTCCAGAGGATTGGTTCTACTACTACTACTTTTATTGTTATTTTTTTTTTCTGACATTCAGCTGGAATCTGCTTTCCTGTATCCTATATTCTGAAACAATGCACAATAAGCCTCGATCATCTTCTGTGTTACATCCTGTAACAAGCCATGGAAAATAAATCCTTTAAACAGCATTGTGCTTAGTGGGTGAAAGTGGTGAATTCCTGGATGGCTTTTTCCCTTTTTGTTGTATGCTCAAGAAAGAGGAATACATTTCAAATGCATAGTGGTACAACACAACTGCCAGTCAGCTCAGGGGATTTCAAGACTACAGACATATTTAAATGAAGAGGAAAAGGTAGATTTTATTTATGACTTGCCAAGGGGAGCTGCGTAGGCCTGGCATGAGTCTGTGGGTGAATCTGGGCAGCCCATGTATTTTGTATGGCTTTTATAAGCATGCTAAGACTATGGGATCCAGGGCTGCCCAGAATCACTATTGAGATAGGCAGGCATAGAAATTGTCTAAAGAAATAAAGAAATCTCTCTTACAATGGTTATTTACAGAAGCCCGCCATCTAGCTTTCACACTGTAGGAGGAAAGCTGTTTTAGTCTATGGTAGCCAAAAATTAGGAGTCTCGTTGTGCCTTTGTAGACTTAACAATTTTTATTAAAAGGCATAAGCTTTTCTAAGCTACAAAAATTGGTGCTGTCACAACACCTTATGTCTTTTAATACAATTCATTAGTCTGAAAAGACTTATCAGATTCCTTCTTTCACATGTAAACCTGTGATGGCCATTCATTGTTTAAATAACTTTTTCCAGTCACCTTGAAATTTGCTGTTTCTCTCTCCCCAATAATGGGACTCGGGTTGGCTGACGGGTGAATTTTTAATCCTAAAAGCAGCATCTGGATAAAAGTTTACTGAAATAAATCTCTGCTGCTTAGGGATTGGGGCTCAGCTCCTCCAAAGTCAAAGGGCCCAAACCTCCCTTTGTTCTAGAACAGCGTTCCTCAAT